GCTCCCGGTCGCCCAGGTCCTGGTTGCGAGCTCTCTGAGATGCTCGGTTCGTTCGGTCGGCAGGAAGAGCCCCCCAGTTGCGACTTCGTTTATGTTAGGAGACCAACGGGCATAGATCCCGTCTAGTTGGAGCGCCAAACAAGCGCTGTTGCGTGCCGGCCGTCGTTTCCCGTGCGGCCTGACCCGGGGGCGGAGTGCATGAGACTAACCAGCCGTATGCACCCGCCCCTTGCGCTGTGTTTCGGCTTCGGCCCCCGGCTCTCGCGGCCCACAGTGTAATCAAAGTCATACATACATACATACATACATACATACATACATACATACATACATACATACATACATACACACGGGCACGGCACTTCTCCAGGCCCCCCCTCGAACATCGCCTCCTCACCGCACCCCCCCCCCGGTCGTTCTCTCCCCCCTCCCCCTCCCCTCCATGTCGTACCTCGCCGCCACATCAAAGAGCTTTGCAAAGGCGAAGAACAGGTCCGCCAGCAGCTGGGGTGTCCTCGCCACCAGGTCCGGGGGGATGTCGGGGCGGGCGGGATCCAGCTGGGGCAGAACTGCCTCGCGATAGAAGGCGGCCATAGTCTGTGTGTCGGGGTTGAGGTGGGGGGTATTGCGGGTATTGCGGGACTCGGGGGTATTGCGGGTATCGGGGTGAGGTTTGAGTCGAGGAGTTGGAAAATTGAGGAGGGGGAAGGCGGGAAAGGGGAAAAAATGTAACCCACCCCCTCCGGCGCACCAAAACCCCCTAACCCCCAACCTAATACACATCCACATCCACATCCACACACACATATCCACGGCTCTACCCCGCGTTACCTGCAGCCCGGCATAATCCCCCGCGGGGTTGAATCTCAGCACCGCCAGCGTGCGCAGCGCCCTCACCGCCCCCTCAGCGGACAGGGCCCCCGGCTCACTCAGCCGCTGAATCAGCAGCTCGCTTAGCCGCGTCAGCACGTCAGAGGCCGCCTCGGCACTAGATTTGGATTTGGATCTGGATGGGCTGGCGGCGGCTGCGGCGGCGGCGGCTGCCGCCAGTGCAGATGTTGGCGCGGGGGGTAAGGCTGCGGAGACGGAGGCGCACAGACGGTAGGCCACTTCCAGAGCGGAAAGCAGCAACCTGTGTGTGTGGGTTGGGGGTATATGTAGGGTGGTGTACGGGGACAGGGGGGATTAAAAAGAGGGGGAAAGGAGGGGGGGAAGGAGGGGGGGAAGGAGGGGGGAAAGGAGGGGGGAAAGGAGGGGGGGAAGGAGGGGGGAAAGGAGGGGGGAAAATTGCACCTTCATGAGGCAAACCCTAGAAAAGAGTCCGACGCGGTGGCGGCCTGCAAGCCGCACTGACTTGCTACTGCAGGGCGGCCAGGCCCGGGGGGGGGGAGACATATGCAAGGAAACAAGGAATTAACTGCCAGACACGACGTGTATCCAGGGGGTTTTGGGGGTCAGATGAAACCGGCGGGGGAAAACACACACACGATGAATGAGCAGGGAGGCCGACAGAGAGACTGGGAACGGCAACATGTAATTTGATGTGAGGGGTTTTTTGCGTGTGGAGGAAGGGCCCCAGCGCAAAGAGCCGGGTATGGACTCCTCCGGTTTTACCCTCCAGCCCCGCCCAACAATACCGCACGAACCGTGCCGTACGGCATACACCCGTCACCCAACCCTCCTGTCCCTCCCCAATCCAACAATCCCCCTCCTCCAAGAAGCCGGCTGTTGCGCCTCTGTTGCGGCTGTGGACTCCTCAGGCACTTGGTGCTGGTTGCTTTGGGACGTGTCCGTTGTGGCAGTTAGAAGTTAGAAGAGGTTCCGCACCTCCGTGCAGCGTCATGCATCATCATCATGCATCATGATCCACCCTGGCCCCCCGTCTTCAAGGCCCTCCCCCCCCCCCGACCACCTCCACCACCTCCTCCTCACACTTCGTCCACAGCCTCCCTGTTCTCTTGGCTCTGCAGCAGGGCATCCAGCTGCTGCATACCCAGGCACACAGCCAGAGAGTCGGACAACTGGGCACGCAGGGACAGAAGCGCGGGATCTACTGACGGAGACGCCGCCGCCGCCGCAACGACAGGGGCCGCTGCTGTTGCTGCTGGTATTGCTGTTGCTGTTGGTGTTGGTGCAGTCAGGGCATCGTTGCTGCCGTTATTGTTGTCGCCCAAGTCGCCGCGCACTATACCGGTCGAGGCGGCGGCAGCTCCGCCGCCGCCCTCACCAACGTCCTTGCCAACGGCCGTCGCCGCCGCCGCCGCCGCCGTCGGCGGTGCCGGTGCCAAGCTGCTCATGGCGGCGCTCCAGGGAAGCGCAGCTGCTGCTGCCGCCGCCCCCGCCGCGGCCGGGTGGGGTTTGCCGTAGCATGTCCTTGTGTGATGGGGCTGCCGGGGGCACGGGGGTGCAGGGGGCCGACGTGGGCGCATATGAAGGACGGAGGGAGCTCGATGAAGGGGATTGTGAGTAATCAATTTCAAAATTCAAAAATTTAAATGCTGACATGGTAGGGCAGGGCGTGGGGGTGTGTGTGAGGGGAGAAATGGCACGCGGCCGGGTGATGGGTGAGAGGGTGCGGCGTAGGACGTGGCCGTGGCGGGGTTTGGGCCTCCCAGCGGCACAGACCGCCCTACCTGGAGAGCTCGCGTCCCGAGGAGCAGCGGCGTGGGGGGATTTCCCACAGCTCTGCCGCTGCTGACGCTGGCGCCGTTGGCCGTTGTTTCGTCGGAAGGGATGCTGCGTTAAGTATGGGTTCATGGGATTGGGGGAGAGAATAGGAAGGGCTGAAGACTGAGCGGCTGTGAATGGCATTCTTTTTCAAGCAGACGTACCAATTGGCGATGCACGCGCTATTGGTACAGGGTGCACCATCGCCATTTATACTTCCGAAGCATAGAATGCGTGCGGTTCCAAGTGAAGCTGTCTGCCCTTCCTGGATGCATCCGTGCGCTGCGCGGAAGAATAGCGTTCCGATTGTGCGTCGGCTCGCCATCGGGAACGGTTAGGACAGCCGGTACCCTAAGATCTGATATGCAACGGCACACAGACGTCACCATGTAATAGTGATGAAAGCATATTAATCATCCGTCGTCATCGGGTATCACTCCCATTATGTTAACCTGAAAGTCAATAAAGTCTAGGTGTAACTTGGAAATAGCCTTTTATCCTCTACGCGAGGCGTCAGCTGCGTCGGCTGCCTATGCTTGAGTCGACGGTTGCTCCATTACGACGCACGATGTACGACATGTCCAGCGAAACACAAGTGCCAGGGGACCAAGCTCCTTATGATCGGTGTAAGATATGCACTTTTGCCTTGGGCGAGGACATTTGCTTGTCGCTAACTTGTAACTCGTATGAACAGCTGATTTCTCTAGTACCCACGACTCGCAACCGAAAAAGAAAACCCACAAGTAACTTCGCTCCTTACTTGTTAAAAATATGCCTCCCAAGAAAAAGAATGACCTTGCTAAGGCTGCAAAAATGGCGGACAAGGAAAACCTTGCTCGGGCAGAAACCGAAATTCTTTCTTTGCAGCACCTCTTGGAGCTGCGAAGCCATGAGGTGGGGTGATCATTCTAAGTTGCGGCCGGAAGATGTTTGACGGGGCATTGCGTATACATTTTTTTGCGTCAGGCACTGGAGGCAAGGCGCAGTGAACGAATGTGGCGTGAGCGCATGGAAGCATTTACGCAAGCATTAGAGCAGCAAAAGGAGGACACGCTGGACATCACAGCGGACATGATGCGCCAGTATAAGGGCATGCAGGAGCAGCTGCTTAAAAAGGTAGCCGATTTGGAGACGGAGAACCGTCAGTTTAAAAAGACAATTGAGGAGCGGGACTCGGAAATTGCCAAGTTGCAGATGGAGAAGGAACAGCAAAAGCGGGCCAGCGACCTCGAGGTGGGTATCGCGCAGGACCTTGGGTTTGCGCCTGAGAGGCAGGGGGTTAGCACAGCTTCCACCCACCTGGTTCACCCTTAAAGGTCCGCCCCAAGGAAATCCCCTGAGTGCATGTGTTGTGGAAGGGCGCCGCGCCGACACCCGGCGAAGAAATCCCCTTTTGCCATTCCACTCGTAATGGAAGTGAATTCCGCCCCTGCATCAGCTTTGATATGCCTTGCCACGCGTGAACCAGCCAAACCCAAGGTGGCCGCATATAAAGGGAACAATCCGCCATGCACGCGGAAACTCCCGTTTCTCCTCTTTCTGCCCCTCCCTGGTCGACACACACAGATCCTGCAGCACCAGCACAAGATGGAGGAGATGCAGGTGGAGTTTGCACAGATGCTTAGGGAAACGCTGGACAAGATGCACGAGCGGCTGTCGAACGGCACCTACAACAGGAGCTGACAGGGGCCGGGGGTGGGAGCCGCGAGCCGCCGACAGGCCGTGCACTGCACCGCCCTCTGCGGTGACGTCTGTGTCCGTCCAGCGCGTGCTGCGTGTATGATTTTGTGAGCTAGCGGGGTATAGCTTCGCTCCGTGGCCGCTAGCTAGTCTGGCAGTCACTACCTTCCCCGTGATGTCTAGGGGCACCCTCATCCTCCTTCTCACCCATGGCGACTGAAGGCTGTGACTTGTTCGGATTCAGTACCCACCACCAGCATCAATTGGAATCAGCCGGTTCAATGGCGGCGTCAACTCCAGTCCTGGTCGGCTGGCGGTGGTGTCACTATAATCGGTTCTATCCCCATCATCCACCGGCCTGGGAGTGCAATTCCACCCTCTCGCGGTCGAGAGATTATTATCCCGCTCTTTGTCGGGATCGATCCTGGAACGTTGCAGGTTCAGGGCACTATGCCGCGCCTTAGCATAATTGCTGTGTCTGGAGCAGTGCGTGCATGTTTGTAAGCCCTCTCTGCGGCTGTGGACGTGCGCGGCGGAGGCGTATCCCTGGGATTACTTATGCGCCTATATGTTCTAAAGTACTGTTTATGCTAGGGACCCGGAGTGATTCTTCCGGCCGCAGTGCCCGTGTTAAACACAGCAAAGCGCCACGGAGGCCCCCCCTCCTCGGGTCCTATTACTGCTGTCACCATTCACACTGGTATATGAGTGTCGGTCACTTTCCAACAGTCCGGCTGCTTTCGGGTTTCTTTGGGGTATGGCCGTGTGGTGATTTTTGCTATGTTGTGGCAGCGCTGTGCGTAAATGAAACCAAACCAAACCAGGATTACAGATTTTAATGTTATTTCCTAGGGGCGTTAGTTGGCCCGGCAGCGTCACGGTGTGCGGCCAGGGGAGGGCTGTGTGCAGCGCGCTTGCCGCTCCGAGCAGGCTGCTGCTGCTGTTAGAACAAAAACCGCGTCGAATAATACGCATGGGCCCCGCAACCTAAAGGCCCTTTGGACTACCCCTGAACCGGCCGGTCGGTTGCCGTATAGCTATATAGGCCATATTTGCTCGCAGGGCCTTGTGTAAGGGCCTTTTTTTCTAGAGAACACTTGAGGAAGGTCCTCCGGGGCCTTTTCAACTGCTGCAGGCCCGCCCAGGGCGTAGGTGGGCCATGACGATGAACCTCGTTATGGGGATATCCGGAGCGGACCAACGGTCTGTCTATGTCGCATGCAGGGGAGCTATACAGCACTGTGCGGGCCTGCGGCTGCCCGTGCGAGGTCAGGTCGTGTATGCTTGTTAGTGTACCGCGCAGCTGCACCCCCGGGGGGGGGCCGTTCCGGGCGCCGCTGCGGGGCTCGGTCTGTGGTGGATGGATATGTCATGTCGCGCCGCACACTTGCTGGTATGTTGTTGCCGGAGTGTCGGAAAGAGATAAAGATGCGGATAACAGATTTCGCATTCGGTCATTCCTGGTGGTGGGGGTGGTGGTGATGGTGGTGGTGGTGGTGGTGGTGGTGTGGTGGTGGGTGGTGCTAGGATTGGGAACCATGACCGTGTGGGGCCGTGTATGTGCCAGTTTAATAGTAGTTGGGCCTCGCACGTGCGCTGCAATGTGGTGTGCACTGCAAGGAAAGCCCCGGCCCTGCTCCAGGAAGGTGCTTCCGCACCCCCCCCCCGCTTCCCCGGTATCCGTGGCGTTAGGGGGGTTTGGAGTGCTGGAACGAAGGAAGAGTCGAAGGCAGCTAGCAGACGTTTCAGTTCTTAGGGTCTTGTTTTGTGACTGGTTGGGGCTTATGATGATGAATGATGTCCTGGCACGTAATGACTGAATGATTCAACGCGAGCGAGAAGTTAATGGAGCTTCTTACTGAGATGGGATATCAGTGAGATTATTATATCGGTGTAGGATGGTATGATAATAGCGCGCGAACGTAGATACGACATCAAGGACTCCGAGTGGTGGCATGTATCCGTGTATGTCGTACCCCTAATGTGCGAGTCATGCAGAACCAAACATAAACATAGCCACCGCATGAGCAAAGCTTGGTATATTGGGTGGAGGGCATATATGGTTAGGACGGATTGATTTACATGCATTAGAGATCGATCGGACTGGACGGTCTGCAGGACGGCTTGAGGTAGGGTTGTACTGAGCTGAGGCACAGCAGGCAATGTCACCGCTGAGCAGTTTGCATCTCACACAGTGCAGCTGCTGGCTGAGGCGAACGAAAACGTACATACCGGTAAGACGAAAGGCCTGTAACCTCATTCATTCGTTGAAGTGGCTTGGCTTGATGTATCGGTAACATATTTATCGTCGGCGCACAGAAAGGTGTTTTCTTAAATAGAGATGCTACCAGGTGTTCATTGGAGACGCGGGCATGCAGGCGGCCACGAACCAGTGAGCGCCGCCCTTGCTTGAAAGGGCTTGAAAGGGCTTTGCGTCCCAGCGTGCTCCGCCCCCGGCGGGGATTGCGCCTAAGAAGCATTGCAAACATCTGAAAAAACTGGGTGTGGTGGTACATGCCGTGAACACTATACTGGCAATGAAACGCTGTCAGGAGATGCTCTGACGGAGATAGCGACTAGCAGACCGTCCATGAAGGCGGCCGTGTAGCCAAACCGTTCCAGTTCGTAGTATCTCAGGGCTTCTGGTGATGATTGTTTGACGGACAGAGGTTCAGGAGGAGGGGGGGACGTCACTTGCAATTGGTGAGGGAAACCCGAGGAGAGTGGGAGGGGTAGGGATATTGTTTGCGATTTGAGGCTTTGGAGGAGGCGGACAGCGATTTTAGCATATTACGCGTGTGAGTGTGGAAAGGGGAGGGGTTCTTTGTGCTGCTGCTGTATGGCAGACTAAGGCAGTCACATGAGCACAGACGCGTTTGCCTTCTCCTGTGACGCGCTGGGTCAAATTCCGGGTTAAGATGACTCCTGTCGGCAGAATGAACACGATATTGACCAATAGGATACTGCTCACAGTGTGGGTGCATGGGGGAGCTCCGTGTATCATTTTGACAACGATTTGTTGGAAACACGATTTAATATGCGACCCTATCAAGTTATTGTTCGATTGGCATGAGTGGGTCGGGGTCGCACGTCGACAATACCCAGCTTTTTACGCTTTTCAATATCTGTAACAACGTCCACGATGATATCAAGCTTCTTCGTGGCCAAGTATGCCCGGACACAAACGTTGGCCTTCCAAAGCGATATGCGTGGTACGTGCAGTTGACCAGGACACATGATGTCTGCATGTATGGCATCATGAAAAGCACTGACCTGAAGTCTGCATTGGGTTGTCCCATAGAGCTAAATGTGCAGGATCGATAACAGACGGTTGCCCCATTGCCGTGCACCCGTACAGTGGTTGTCATCCTGGCATTGGACGTCCTGGCTTCTAAAAGGCACGACTGCATGTGTAAAGTTGCATCGGTGATTCAAAACACGTGTACTGGAAGGCCGCCCTAGTCAGTTGCAGTCCTCGTGACTCTCAGACGGAGTTTGCTGCGCTCTCTCTTTAGCGGCCGCCTTATACTTTACCATCATGTCGCTTCATTTAGAAGACGAGATCAATCAGCAGGTGATTGTTTGGTCTGACTTGCCTCGTTCCGTAAGCTCATTTGAAGTAAACAAGGGTGCAGGTCATGGCTAATTTGTAATTATTCACTATTGTTACTTGTAGTATGGCAACAAGCAACGGGTTAACGCGCTGGATGCAAAGAAGAATCCCCTCCTCATATCCATCCTGGATGCTGTGGATACGCTCAAGAACATGGAGACACAGGGCAAGCTGCCACATGATGCAATCACAAATGCCAAGGGGCTACTCACTATGTTGACCAACAAGGTGTGCTTGATTTACCACCGCATACACACCCCGTTGGTTGAGCGAGCCGCAGCTGCGGAACTGGAGTCACGCCGCGTTTCTCCATGAACAGGTCGGCTTTGGTGTTTCAGTGACTCAGGGCTACGGTCTGTTGGTGGCGCGTTTGCCGAACAGCCCGACAGGCTGGTAAGGATAAGGAGCCAGGGGGTGCACACAGGAGCGCAGTTCACGTTCCAAGGCCAGGTCATAATGACTGGCAAGGCTCCACCCCGCATCCTGCAATCTGGGTTGCATGAGGACATACCTACAGCTCTTAGCTCCATTATGCAGTACGGACTCTCTGAAAGATGCTTTCCAGGTACCTGTGCCAGGCTTTTGGGTCTGGGTCGTTGCTTCCCGTGAGAGGGCTTGGATATCCGCTCCATCCAACTATCGCGCCTTGCCCTGCTTTTCAAGCAAACCGGCGTCCCTTCCTCACCATCTGCGATGGCCAGGTCGGCTCCGCTGCCCATCAAGGTGGACGGCTTCAGTGTGGGCGCTGTCATGGGTTACAGCGAGCAGCACACAGTCATCAGTCTGGCAACGGATGCGGATATCCAAGCTTTCCTCAAGGTAGGTGCAGGTGTGCCGTTCGCGTGTACAGCAACGATATACCCGACAAGGCCATGCCTCACTGCTCCAAGTTCCGTTGTCATGCAAGCACCAAGTTACGCGATTGGGATGTAGGAGGCTTGAGGCAAGGCTTGCGTCAGGGACGGATTGGGAACGGCTTGCGTAGCACGGGCAGGTGGAGAAGGCCAAGGAGAACACCGTTCAGCAGCAACCCTTCAGAGGGCAACCCGGCTTAGCCGCCATGGGAAGGCGAGCCTGCGCAAAGCTGCGCCTCTCCAGATACGCTTGCCATGAATGTTGTTCTGCTGTGTTCAATGCTGCGGGCCTTGCAACAAGGACGTGTTACATGTCGGCATCCAGCTGGATGCTGGGCCTTCATGACAACAGTTCGCTTGCGAATTTACCAATTTTTCGGGCAGGATAAACGTGCGATGAAGATCGGTCTGGACTTTGGGCTGAACCTTGGTGATAAGGTGGACAAGTCAGCGGCACTGAACACGCAGACGGGCCAGACGGACTCGGCTAGCGGCGCCAAGACGCGCTGCTTCACACTCTCCAAGTGGGTTATGGCGTGTCGGACCTGAGCTGCGAAAGAATGGGCTTGGCAGTTGTTCCCGCACCCATGCGGCAGCCACGGGCGCCGTAGGGCACTGCCCCGTATTTATTTCGTTTTTAACCAACCTTACACCTCTTCCATGGGGCGCAAGGTTTTCTCGGGTGAACCCCATGAGCCGAGGCTTTGCTAGTCGTGATGCGTGTTCGGGTATGCATCTAATCCGTTACCTACCGTTATGCAAACCCGGTCATGTGCCTTTTGGTAAAAGCAGTGGCCAGCTCGGGACGCAACCGTTACCAGCACGCACGCCCAGGAGCATCCTTTTCTATCCTTTTGCTTTTCATCCCCTAAGACGGCCGTCCGGGGCCCCCGCCCTCGTTTTTGGTGACCAGGGGCGTGATGTTGGATGTCTCTATGCAAGGCACCAGTGTGGAGCCTGACCTGGAGGATATCGCGAACTGCTACGGCCAGCACGTTAGCCCGGGCGACATTCTCACCGGCAAGGTCTCTGCGCCGCGTGAGGCCACGCTGCTATACAACATGCTCAAGTCCCTCAACTGAGCGATGTAGGAGGGCGGCGGGGAAGGGGGGTCCGAGATTCGCCGGTCCGTGGGCGTGTTACACGGCCATGCATGCGCGCAGAAGGCTTATGGTTGCGAGGCCATGATTTCATGGGGATGAGGCATGCATGCAAATGAACAGGGAAACCCATAATAACTCTCCGGTAACTAGCAGATGTGGGTTTGACATGCAGTTTTGTGCGTTGGAAGGCCGAGGCGTCTATCGGAAGGTTGCAGAAGCTTAAACTTCATTTTGGGCGGATGGCAGGCCAACAGCTGTAGCGGTCACAAGTGACGACTTACCTTGGTTACTTAAACAGTTTGCTGCTAACGAAGCATTCGCATCTGTGGCAGTGACATGGATTGCAAACGAGCGGTCACATGAACGGGTACTTTCATTGCTGTGTCTGAAACGCCGGTGGATTCGTCCTGCATGTGCGCGTCGGCTGGTATGGCGTGTTCTTCAAGTATTTTGCTTTTACGTTGCATCACAATTTACCATGCAGTTTTCCGCAAGTTGTATGTAATGGTGTTGAAACTGCAGGCTGCAAGTCCTCAGGAACAAAGCTTGCCTGGTCGTGGGAAAGTAATACACCAGAGCTCTAATGGGCTATAATCCTATCCATCAAGGTCTTTCCATGTTACAGGTGCCCAAGGATGTAAGTCTGTACCAACCCCGCAGCCAACGGGACTTAAAGGCAGAAGATAAAGACATCGCTCCTTCCCCGTCCTTCCCCGCCTGCCTTCGTAGTCTGAGGGTGTGCTTTTCAACGCACCAGTAAACCAATGGATACGTGAAATCGGAGTGCGGCGACCCTTTTAACGACAAGCTGTGCAGGACCCAAGCAGGTTCTCCGCCCTAACATTCTTCTCATTCTCTCGCACGCATCACGCCAATGTGGCAGAGCTCAGCCTGAATTGCAGCAAAAGGCGATACAGCCCCATCACGCCGCGTCCTTTCCCATTCGTCAGGATTCATGATCGGTCGGATCCTTTTCATGGCAGTGGTATCCACCGAGCGGGTGCGCTGATAATAGTTGCTAACAGTTGCCAACGTAGCCCGGCGTGCTCGGCCCCGCGTCCGCAGCGGGCAGCATTGTCAAAGCGCAACGTAACAAACAGCACCGAAGCCCGTGCAGCCTGAGATTAAGGCCGCATACGTACTGCTGCAAAAGGCTGCCTCCCTTAAGATTGCGACAAAAACTAGACAAACACTCGGCACCCTTCCCCGTTTCACAGATCCTTGCATATTCACAAGTTTCAAACACAAGCACAAGCTTTGCAACCTGCCGTGGTAATAGCCATACGGAAAGCGCAACCGCACACCAAAACGCTGCCGCCGCCTACCACCTCTCCGCCTGTGCCCTCCTGCGCATGCAGCATGACACATCAATCCTCCCCCTTCCCCAGAGGCAAAATCTTTCGGTTCCATGTATGTAGCTATTACTGCATTTGTCCTTTCCCTCCAATCAAGACATGGACACGTGTAACGCAACCATCTACTTCTTTTGACAGCGCATATCATCAAAAGCCAGACTCTTATTCCAACTTGTGCTTGAAAGACGACTGCCTAGGGAAACGGTCGAAGCTCCCAGGTGCTACTGCGCCGTCTACAGGTCGCCAGAAAGGGGCGGATGGGCTGCCTGAGGGAGCACCTGCCGGTGACAATAAACCCTTTGGGTGGAGAGCGGTAGAACGCGCACCCCGTAATAAGGCCCGGAGATAGCGGGCTAATAAGGGCATGTGTCCATATCCCCGAACCTCTCCTCTCCGATACTGCAGACTCCGCATCAAACCATCAAACCAGGAAAACGTCTTCCCGCATTTTTTTCTTTCCTGAGCATATATTAAGCCATCCCTTCGCATGTCCGATTTATCAAACCTGTCCGTCCCGTCTTTGCAGCGTGAGCTCCAAGCACAGCGACCCCACCATCGCCACCGAAACCACAACCACGGGCAAAATACCCCACCACCACATGCATGACAGGCCATGGAGCAACAACATATGTAACAACCGCAAACGTACGCACGGAATGAAAAAACGCAGTATTGCTGCGCAACGATGTGCGCT